TGAGCGCTGCGCTTTTCTTCGACAGTAACGCAGGCAGCACTTGCTCCCGTATGTCCATACTCTCAAGTGTGCCAATACAGCTGCTCTTCCATCGTGCACGGCAATCGTGCTTCAATTCATCGAGGTTGGGCATGAGGAGAAGCCCCTGGACTGCCCACAGAGTAATTGCAGCGCGCATTCTTTCTGGCGTGACTTTGGCCCACAATGGAGACGCTCAGACCTTGCCAAGGCTTCAGGTCGGCTTCTCCGTGGCCACAAATAGGAGGTGCTGGGAAAGCAGCTGGTCCGCAGCATGCGAGGCGAGCAGAGATGGGAGCGGTCGAAACTCCGCAAACTCTAGTCTTTAGGGGCTCGAACGTCAACTTCTGCAGCTTGCCGCTCGCTTAGCACGTCAACACACACTCTCGCTCGCGCCTCTGCCCGGACGCTGGCTCCCACCCAAAAAAAAATCCCGAGACTCTCGCGAGATCCAGGAAAGGCAGGTTCGGGGCCTCTGCCGCCGCGCCCCCCGATACCGATGCGCTGCCTCTTTTTTCGTCAATCAGATGTGCGATCGTAAAAGTTTACAGACATATAATTTATATGGGGTTCCGGATCCCGAGTATTTTTCGGTGCATGGAAGACTCGTCACGGATTCGACCCTTGCTAGCCCGATGACCATCAGCTTTCCGGCGCAGCAGGCGCTCGTTCACTTCCACATCCCTCGTCGAGAGCGTCGCTTTGTCCGAGCGTGCTTCTGATCGCTTCTGGTTGCCACTGCTGCCAAGCCTCGTAGCATCGCAAACACCCAAAGACCAGATTCGGGCGGCGAGCGTCACCTCCACGCACGCGTCGCAACCCAGAATCCCTTCGTTCGACCCGGCAGGACTCGCCACAGCGACCGTGGTCGGCTGCATCTCGCTTCTTGGCGGCACGTACGACTCACGCTCTACTCTGCTTGGAGCTACCGGCAACACACACCTCAACAGCAGCGGGACACACTCTCAGAAGCGACCATGGATGGCATGCACCTCTACAACCTGACGCTGCAGCCCTCCGGCAGCGTCCATGCGACCGCAGTAGGGCAGTTCTCTGGGACAAGGCAGCAAGAAATTGTAGTCGCAAAAGGCAGTCGTCTCGAGCTCCTCCGACCAGACACGCAGACGGGCAAAGTGGAGATCATCGTCTCCTCGGATGCGTTCGGTGTGATCCGCAGCCTCGCCGCCTTCAGGCTTACGGGTGGATCCAAGGACTATCTCATCGTCGGCTCCGATTCAGGCCGTATTGTCATCCTAGAATACCATCCCAGCAGCAACTCGTTTGACAAAGTACATCAGGAGACGTTTGGGCGCTCAGGTTCGCGCCGCATCGTACCGGGCCAGTACCTCGCCACCGACCCAAAGGGACGTGCGACCATGATCGGCGCAATGGAAAAGGCCAAGCTCGTCTACATCCTTAATCGCGACGCCGAGGCCAACCTGACCATCTCGAGTCCGCTCGAGGCCCACCGTCCTAACGGCATCATTCACCACATTGTCGGCGTGGATGTGGGATTCGAGAACCCGCTCTTTGCCTGTCTCGAGGTCGACTACTCCGAGTCAGATAGAGACGCATCAGGAAGAGCGTTCGAAGAAGCCGAAAAGACTCTGACGTACTACGAGCTGGATTTGGGGCTCAACCATGTGGTACGCAGGTGGGCAGAGCCGGTGGACCCGCGCTCGAATCTGCTCATCCAGGTGCCGGGCGGCTACAACCAGAACCAGGAAAAGTGGGACGGTCCCAGCGGAGTCTTGGTCTGCAGCGAGGACTACATCACCTACAAGCACCAGGACCAGCCGGAGCACCGCGTGCCCATCCCAAAACGCCTCAACCCCATCGAGCGCCCCAACGAGAGGCGCGGAACGCTGATCGTCGCGAGCGTGCTGCACAAAATGAAGAACGCCTTCTTCTTCCTGGTGCAGACCGAGGACGGCGATCTGTTCAAGGTCACCATGGATCATCAGGACGACGAGATCCGCGCGCTCAGGATCAAGTACTTTGACACGGTGCCCGTCGCGTCGGGGCTGTGCATCCTGCGATCCGGATTCTTGTTTGTTGCGTCCGAGTTCGGGCCGCAGCTGCTGTACTCGTTCCAGAAGCTGGGCGACGACGACGAGCTGCCCGAGTACATCTCCACCGACTACGACGACTACGGCGCGGGGCGGCGGCGGCCGCAGCTGCCGACGTTCACGCCCCGTCCGCTGGACAACTTGGTGCAGGCGGACGAGGTGCCGAGCCTCGACCCCATCCTGGACGCCACGCCGCTCAACCCGCTCGCCTCGGACTCGCCCCAGATCTTTGCGGCGTGCGGCCGCGGTGCGCGCAGCAGCTTCAAGATGCTGCGGCACGGACTCGAGGCGCTCGAGGCGGTGAGCTCGGATCTGCCGGGTGTACCCAGCGCGGTGTGGACCACCAAGATCACGCGCCGCGACGAGTACGACAGCTACATCATCCTGAGCTTTGTCAACGGCACCTTGGTGCTGAGCATCGGCGAGACGATCGAGGAGGTGTCGGATAGCGGCCTGCTCACGTCGTCGTCGACGCTGGCGGTGCAGCAGCTCGGCGAGGATGCGTTGCTGCAGGTGCATCCGCACGGCATCCGTCACATTTTGGTGGACAAGCAGATCAACGAGTGGGTCACGCCGAGCCTGCCCAACGGCCGGCAGACGACAATCGTGGCGACGTGCACCAACGAGCGCCAGGTGGTCGTGGCACTCAGCAGCAACGAGCTGGTGTACTTTGAGCTCGACATGGACGGACAGCTAAACGAGTACCAGGAGCGCAAGGCGATGGGCGCGCCCGTGCTGACGATGAGTATGCCTGAATGCCCCGAGGGTCGACAGCGCACGGCGTACCTCGCGGTGGGCTGTGGCGACTCGACCGTACGCATCGTGTCGCTCGAGCCGAGCTCGACGCTGGCATCCATATCGATCCAGGCACTCACCGCGCCTGCATCGAGCATCTGCATGGCTGAAATGCACGACAGCACCGTCGACCGCCACCACGCCACGACGTTCGTCAACATCGGCCTGCAGAACGGCGTGCTGCTGCGCACCGTGCTCGATGGCGTCACGGGCCAGCTGACGGACACGCGCACGCGCTTCCTGGGCAGCAAGGCTGTGCGTCTCGTGCGCACGAGGGTGCACGGTCAAACGGCCGTCATGGCTCTCAGCACCCGCACGTGGCTCTCGTTCACCTACCAATCGCGCGTGCAGTTTACGCCGCTCATCTTTGATGCGCTCGACCACGCATGGTCGTTCAGCGCCGAGCTGTGTCCCGACGGCCTCATCGGCATCGTGGGCAGCACGCTGCGCATCTTTACGATCGCATCGCTCGCGAGCAAGCTCAAGCAGGACTCGGTCGCGCTGTCGTACACGCCGCGGCGCATGGCAAGCCATCCCGACGGGCAAGGTTTGTTCTACGTCGCAGAGGCAGATCACCGAACGCTGTCGCCCGGCGCGCAGAGGAGACGCGTCGAGTCGCTCGACAAGGAGCTCAAGCCGCACCAGCGAGGCGTGCTCGATCTGGACCCGGCCGAGTTCGGCTCGATCCGCGCCGAGGCGGGCAACTGGGCGAGCTGCGTGCGCGTCGTCGACGGCGTCAATGCACAGACGACGCACCGGATCGAGCTGGACGACAACGAGGCGGCATTCAGCATTGCGGTGGTGCCGTTTGCGAGTGCGGACAAGCAGCTGTTTGTCGTGGTCGGCTCGGCGGTCGAGGTGGTCATGTCGCCGCGCTCGTTCAAGAAGGCGTATCTCACAACATACCGTCTCGGCAACGGCGGTCGGGAGCTGGAGGTGGTGCACAAAACCGAGGTGGACGATGTGCCGTTGGTGCTGCGCGCGTTCCAGGGCCGTCTGTTGGCGGGCGTGGGCAAGGCGCTGCGCATCTACGAGCTGGGCAAGAAGAAGCTGCTGCGCAAGTGCGAGAACCGGTCGTTCCCGACGGCGATCGTGGCTTTGGATGCGCAGGGCTCGCGCATCGTGGTGGGCGACATGCAGGAGAGCGTGATCTTTGCGTCGTACAAGCCGCTCGAGAATCGGCTGGTGACGTTTGCCGACGACATTATGCCCCGGTACGTGACGCGGTGCACGATGCTCGACTACGACACGGTGGCGGCGGCGGACAAGTTTGGCAACGTGTACGTGGTGCGCATCGATGCCGATACCAGCCGCAGTGTCGACGAGGACGTGACGGGTATGACGACGATGCACGAGAAGCCGCTGCTGATGGGCGCCGCGCACAAGGCGACGCTGCTGGTGCACTACTTTGTGGGCGATATCATCACGTCGCTTTCGCGCGCCGTCATGGTGCCCGGAGGCCGAGAGGTGCTGCTCTACACGGGCATCAGCGGCACGATTGGTGCGCTCGTGCCGTTTGTCAGCAAGGAAGACGTCGATACTATGACGACGCTCGAGATGCAGCTGCGGCAGCAAAGCGACAGCCTGGTCGGCAGAGACCATCTGGCGTACAGGAGTAGCTATGCGCCCGTCAAACACGTCATTGACGGCGACCTGTGCGAGTCGTTCGGCCTGCTTCCGCCCGCCAAGCAGAGCGCAGTGGCGCAGGAGCTGGATCGCAAACCCAGCGAGGTCAACAAGAAGCTCGCCCAGCTCAGAGAAGGAGCCACCGGCTTCTGAACAACGGGTGGCAGGATTCGCAATTCACTGACTCGCCATATCGTGCGAAATAGCTGACTCGTCTCGTGAAAAAGCGTGATCGTACCTTCAGCAGTGTGATGACAGTCTGAGCTGCCGAGTCGTGTCACTGGTCCTCAGCTGAGGCGATCTGAGGCGGTGTTATCGGCTGGAGTGGTGAGCAGCGACCTTCCAAATCAGGCCTTGATGAGGCGACTGCAAATCGGGGGGGATCGGAAATTGGGCTCGCGTAGATCCGTGCTTGAACCAGAAAACTTACGCCCGCAGCAGCGCTAAGTCAACGCCTCGGGCTTGTTGCTGCGCGTAGAGCTTCTGAGTTTCTCAGCCTGCGCCATCGTGCGTTTTGCCACACCTTCCCGATTTGGCTCTGGCTGCGATGCTTCCAAGTCTTGAGTCGGCCTCTCTTTGGCCAAAGGCTCCCTCGCGCAACGCAAGGCGGAAGATCAGGCTTCCGGGTCTTGGCGACGCTGGCGAGGGAGAATTGAAATTGCTAAGCGAAGTGGCGAGCCGAGCGTCGATGCTGATCAGAGCCAGAGGCAGCGAGCTGAGGCGAGAGTCAAGTTGCCGTCGGAGGGCGCCTGTTGAATAAAAATAGCGGAAAGGCCCCAGGCAAGCGAGTCAGGATCGACGGCGCGATCTGTTTGCGGCACCGGGTCTGCTGCTGGTGCTGCGGCCAAGCGAGCGTCGCGCGATGGTAGAGATCCGGGCGAGCCGAAGTCTGTGAGAACTCGAGGGGGACCCTGGATTCTACACTCGAGCTGGACAGACACCACCCGCTCTCGTCGCCCCGTCTTGGCTCACGTTTCGAGTTGCGATGCTCGAAGCAAGCAGGAAGCTGCGTCTTCACGTAACCGCCGTGTTCAGCAGGGATGCGCACCGCAGAGGCTGGTGTGTGCATGTGGTCGAGGTGCATGCGACTGCGACTGCGGATCTCGGGATGCATGGATGCATGGATGCAAGGATCGCAGCAACCTGCTGCGACGTCGACTCGTCGAGAGAAAGAGAGAGCCGGGGTTGAACGGCGGGGGGAATTGCCAACGCTCGCTGCACGGAAGGCTTCTCCGTCGCAACGGTAGCCACGCGTTCGATGCGGCGCTCGAGCCATCCCGGCGCGTGCTGCAGCCCGAGACGACGAAACAATGGCACTCTCGACTATTGACCCGCGCAACGACGGCCGAGCATGGCGCCATCTGCGATATCAAGGACACCGTGTCTCGACATCGCGAGGATGCGGAGAGCGAAGTTGCGGTAAGCGGCAAAGCAGAACAGAGCATAGCGAATCGCCATGAAAAAGGGACGATCTCGGTTCCATCCGAGCTGGGGCGCTCCGTCGGTGTTTTCAGACCGCCGTGGACGGGCGAGCGATCTTGGCTTGTCACGCGTCTCCCCTGGCAGAGTCTGGCACAGAGGGCGAGGATTCTGCGGCGGTTTCGGTGTGTGTCTCAGATGGCTCAGATCGCTGCAGTTGGCAGTCTTCCACGCGGACCGTTCGCAAACGCCGCCGTCCGCTGGCATTGGAAGCAGCTCTCCACCGCCCGTTGCCTTGCATCACTAGAGCTGTCGATGAGAATGAGCAAAGGCTGCTTCTACGGTAGGATCGGAGTTTGCCAGCCCCTTCAGCCCACGCTAGGCCGTCCATGAACAGGCAAGGGGCGCGCGTCGCAACTTAAAAAAAGTTTCCTCGTCCGCTCAATTAATGCATCATCGTCGTCGTTGGTCGTCGCAGCATTCGTTGGTAAGGTGCAGCGAACTCGACAAAAGGATGAACCGAATTCGAAGAGTGGGAAAGCCAGCCAACGTCGGGGCGATGCCACGTCCACAGCCGTCTATGCACGCAGCTGTGCAGACTGCAGGCACACCAAAAATCGCCTCGAGCTGGGTAGGGCTGGGCAATGCAGGCAGGGCAAGGCGAAACCAAGAAAGGGTGAGGTTTCAGAGGCGCGTTTTGTTTTTTTGGGGTTCTTCTCGCCAGCGAGCCATGAGCGGCGTTGCAATTGCTCGGGTGCCACGCTACAACCACTCAACCTCGGCTACTCCACCTGCCAATAAAAAAGGAAACAGAAAAAAAATGGTGAAAGCGAAAATACAGTCCGGCTTTTTTTTTTTTTTTTTT